ACATGTTGCCAGGTCCTGTTCCTGGCCATGACTGCCCAGTGGATCTGGAAGCTCTGGACAAGCAAGTGTGAGACCTTCCTCCTGAATTCCCACATGCAGGGCCTTTCTTGGCATGGACACAGGCTGCCCTATGGGGATGTAGAGTAGACATTTGGGACCCTCTGAGACTTGTGCCCTTTGATGGGGACACAAACCACACTACAGATGGGGTTCCTCTCCCTACAGCAGGGGTGTGTGTGTGTGTGTGTGTGTGTGTGTGTGTGTGTGTCTGTCTGTCTGTGTGTCTGTGGAGGTCTATCAGCATACCGAGGACTACAAAATTTCCTGCTCAGACATCCCTGAATCCACTTCCAGGTTCTACACAGGCCAAGTCCCCAAGTCAACATCCTGAAAAATAATTGTATTACAATGCACGTCTCTAGACATGTCGGACTGGGGTATTTCACTGCAGAGCAGTCAGGGAGAAAAGAGGGTGGGCTACATTCTGCTTTCCAAGAGTTGGAAATAGGAACCTGGACTGGCAGGGCATTAGGATGATGTTCTCTGTCAACATGGGAAAAGAGACTAGAATTTCTTCCATATTTTATCAGCTCAGTCTTCTGCTTTAAATGATGCAGACCTTTGCTTGGTGGAATCTGTGTGTCTCCTGGTCCTTGGCTCTGAAATGGTAGGGCCAGGTCTGATCTCGTGTCTCCATCTGACTCCTCACAAATGTCTTGGGAAGATTGCCTCCCTGACCCCAAATGACCACCTATCGCCACTGTCAATGGCCTTGACTTTCCAAAGCCTCTCTTTCCCACCACAGCAGAGGACAGCCTACTCCCTCAGCTCCAAAGGCTGGGAAATGAAGAGTTTAATAATAATGACCGTGCCGGTGTGTGCATCCCAGGGCTCAAAGCTCATTCCTAGCCCGTTTAATTTCTCAAGAAACCTGTCAAGTGGGCGTTGGGGCAGGAGGTGGCTAGCTCATTTTGGTTGGATGTGAACAGGGACTGGGATGGCTGTTTGAGTTAGTCTCATGTCACTCATCCCCCCACCAAAACTCCCAGAGTGGGGGAAAGTGGGGAGGAGGGGGCATCCTGGCCATGCAGCGCTCAGGATGGTTAGTGGTGCTTAGCTTTGCTCTTCATCTTGGTCTACGGCGGCGGAAGGGAAATCTCCCAGAGCTGGGGGTGGGGGTGCTGATACCTGGGAGCTAGGGGTAGGGAGAGGAAGGGAATGGGGAAGACCTCACAGATTCAGGAGCCAGGCCACTGGGGCATTACCAGCTGTGAGGGAAATAAGGCCAGAAGCATTGGCTTCACCCTGGTCACACAACTGGCCAGACTGACTTGCATGATCCCCAAACCCCACAAAATGGGTTGCTACCAAATTGATTCCAACTCCCAGTGACCCCAGAAGACAGCGTTGAACTGCCCTATCAGAATTTTAAGGCTGTAATCTCTGGGAGCTGACTGCCACATATTTCTCTTGCAGCGTGCTGGTAGGGTTGAACTCCCCAGCCTTTTGCATATGAGCTCTAAGCTATTGCACCACCAAGGTTGTTCCCAGCATCCTATACTCCTTACAGGCTATAGGAGACACTGAGGTGTGTAAGCTGAACCAAGATTGAGTGTGCTGACAGCCCCAGAGCTGACTTCCACACTCAAGTGGGACTAGGCTGCAACACAGCACTGTCTAAACCCTCACACTGTGTGCGTGATGTATGAGAGACTAGACCCCTGTATGTCAGACCCTGTTATGTGCCACCTGCCTTGTGGATCTAGACAAAGCATTCAGCCTCTTTGGATTTCCGTTGTTTGTCTACAAGATGAAGTGACTGAAAACCACCCTCCCTCTTTGGGCCAGCGCAATAATTGAATGTGATGGCTGCAGGCTTCAGAGTCAGATTGACCTGGGCCCAAGATCTGGTTCTGCTGTTGCCACTGTGATCTTGGGGATCTGCCTTCACTCTTCTGAGCCTTGATGTTTCCATCTGTTCAATGGATTAAGAATGTGTTCCACAAAGGGTTGTGGAGAGCTTTAAATGAGGGGATGAATGTGGAGCACAGTTCCCTGTCACTGGGGCCACGGTGAGTGCTGGCACAGGCTTCCAACCTTCCCTGACCCTTTCCAATGCCCACTTCATCCTGCAAAGCCTCCTGTGTGTTCAGCTGGTACATTCCCAGTCACTCCCTGTGCCTAGGGTAGGGAAGACCTCAGAGTCTGTGGGCTATAAACAAATAATATTTTAAAACCTAGACCCAAGCTGGGCCCTACTTCAGAGGCTGAAACCAAGGTCCCTGGGATCAGACCACAGTGTCCTACCACCACACAGAGGGCTGTAGCTAGACAACCTAAAGCTCAGAAACACATTGCCGGCAAGTGGGAGCCAACTCCAGCGGGTTCTCAGAGGCTGTAAGTTGTGGGTTCAGACCTCAGAGAGGGGCAACCTTTGGATTAGTAGGGCATCTCCCTATGGACTCTGCCATCAGAGCTCCCCACCAGACAAGAGAACATTAAAATATTCAGGGTCTATCTCTTTGAGCCTCAGTTTGACCATGTGAAATGAGCTTGAACTAGGTCCCTGTGGCATTTGAAAAGTCCATCATGTTGACCCCAAACCCCTTTTCCAGGAGGTGTATTTGCCTGGCATGTTGAGGGAGCTATGAATGGGGTGGGTGACTGGGAGCCCCCCTTGAGGATCACCTGGCCAGAACTTCCACAGACCTCCCTCCAGACTTTCCTGGCTGCTGCCCCGCATCGACCTGTCACCATGGCGACCGCTGCCATAAAGTAATTGGCTGCTCTGGAAAGAAGGAGGTGGAGTCAAGGATGCTGCTGGGACTTCCCTGTGGCCACATTTCCTCAGTGTCCCTGGAAGCAGAGAGTAGAGACAGCAAAGAGGTCAGAGACTAGAGTGGAGGGTTCTACCCTCTAGCAGACTTTTCCCCAAAGTGCCCCCACTGCTGTGGAGTCAGTTCCAGCTCATAACAATCCCGCATCGAGTTTCTGAGGCTGTAAATCTTGACAGAAAGAGACTGCACCTGGAGCACTTGGCAGATTCAAATTGCAGACCTTTCAGTTAGTATCCCAATTCATTATGCACTATGCTACCAAGGCTCCTACCAAACTGTGAAAACAACAACAAAAAACAAAAAAAAATAAAATAAATCCTTCCTTATGATTGTGCTTATGCAAAACCTATGCTTGTACCAGGAGGCAGTCATCAGAACAGAGTAAAGCAACACTGCATGGTTCAAAATTGGGAAGGATGTGCCCTAGCTCCATCCATACCTTTTCAATCTATATGCAGAACAGATTATCCAGGAGGCTGTGCTCTATGAGGAGAAATGTGGCATCAGGATTGGAGGTAGACTCATCAACAATCTGCAGATGACACAACCCTGCTTGCTAAAACTGAGGAGGACCTGAAGCACTTGCTGCACAAGGTCAAGGACTGCAGCCTCCAATATGGTTTGGAGCTCAATATCAAGAAAACAAAGATTCTCACCACTGGAGTGATTGGCAGTATCATGATAGATGGTGAAGAGATTGAAATTTTTAACAGCTTCAGTTTGTTTGGCTCTATAATCAGCACTCTTGGTACCAGCAGCCAGGAAATTAAAAGATGAATTGCATTGGAAAAGTCTGCTGTCAGAGACCTCTCCAAGTACTGAGGAGCAGCGATGTCAGTCTGGAAACTAAGGTGCGCCTCATACAGGCTATGGTATTTGCAATTACTTGCTATGCATCCGAGAGCTGGACAATGACTAGGGATGATAGAAGGAGAATTGATGCCTTTGAGCTGTGGTGCTGGAGAAGAATACTGAATATACCATGGACTGCTAGGAGAACAAACAAGTTTGTCCTGGAGAGGGTGAAACCAGGCTGCTCCTTGGAGGCAAGGATTCTGAAACTCCATCTGACATACTGTGGACATGTTGCAAGGCGGGACCAGTCCTTGGAGAGGGATGTCATGCTTGGGAAAGTGGAGGAAAGGTGCAGGAGAGAAAGACCCTCGATGAGATGGATTGATTCAGTCATTGGGATAATGGGGATAGGTGTGCTGGAGACAATAAGATTGGCAAGGGATAGAGCAGGGTTTAGGGCTGTTGTACACAGGGTTACTATGAGTCACAGATGACTCAACAGAACATAACAACAAGAACAATTACTATTGACTAACCAACTCATAACGGACCTTCCAACAGGTTTCAGAGGCTGTAAACTGCATGAGTGGAGATTGCCCCTCTGCCCCTCAAGGAGCAGTGGGTGAATCTGAACTGTCTATCTTTGGGTTGGCAGCACAATTCTTGACCCACTAGGCTCCCGGAGCTCCCTCATCAAGCTGTAAAGGGGAGTATTGATACTAACAAGATATTAAAGATGACTTATGAATTCATGATCACATATAATAATAAAGGTGACTTATTCATAATAACTTGTTAATTGATAATGGTTTGCAACTTCTTAAACATTTCTCTATAGTTTAGCTCTAATGACAGCCCACTCAGGTAGGTACCATTCCTGATGAGGAAACATGATCAGAGAGTTCCAGGGACTCAAGGTCACACAGCTAGGACTTGGGCAGTACCTGAGTGTGATATCATGCTCTTTCTGAACCTGGAGCCTGTGCTGGTCCTTCTGCAGTGTAGGGCTGCCCCTGGAGTGGGTCCTGAGGGTGTAAAGACAGATGTAGGGAACCCCCAGGCTCCTGGCAAAACTATTGATGTGGGGTTAGAGACACAGCCTTCCAGGTTGCTGGCTCTTGTCCCCTGATGTGCTCATTCCTGGGGCAAGCTGCTGTAGGGTCTCCTCTGCCCTGCCCTTCCTCCACTATGTGGCCTGGATGGCTGCACCTCGATAAGAGCCCCTATAGCTGTCCATGTCCCCCTCTCTTTGGGCCCCTCCAGCGTGCAGTCAGCTTCTTCAGAGCCTGACACGCGCATCAGGCTGGGCACTCTGCCAGGTACGTGCAGGGGCTGCAGGTGAGACCACCCCTCTTGCTTCCCTGGTAGATCTTCCACATGACCTACGACCTGGCCAGCGCCGTGGTGCGCATCGTGAACCTCATCGGAATGATGCTGCTGCTGTGCCACTGGGACGGGTGCCTGCAGTTCCTGGTGCCCATGCTGCAGGACTTTCCCGACGACTGCTGGGTGTCCATCAACAACATGGTGGTGAGTGTCTCGCCGGGCACGCCGCCTGTGCCTCAGCCCATGCTCCGAGAACCAGGTCAGGTGGGGGCCTGAGGTCCAAAGGGGCAGAGCTTCCCAAGTCCCCGGATGTAGGACCCTGACGTGCTGCCCTGGAGAACAGTGTTCAGACTCTGTCCAGTGTAGGTCAGCACTTGTCACCAGACTGAGCATCCACTCAAAGAGCCTCTGACTGCGTTCTGTGGCCTCTGCCTCCACAGGACTTAAGAGTCTCCACTCTTGGACCTGATTTCGCCCCAGGGGACTGAGACCTGGGCCTGTGTCAGGTGTGGTGAAAGCAAACTGGTGGCTCCCGCCCCTCAGACGCATCCCACCTCTTAAAAGCTGACTCCAGAAACTGGACACCTGTGGGGAACCCTGCACCATACAGAGTCTCTGCATCACACTGGCCACTTCTGTGCCATCTGCAGAGCCGCACGGTCCTCACAGCCATTTCCCATAGACACACACAGCGCCCGTACCGGGAGGCCAAGTGGGACACGGGTCCGCTCCCCACTCCTCACACCCTGTAATTAGTTGGGAGAAGTTGGAAGTGGGACTAAAAAGCATCCAGGGCAGCTCCCCCAGTCCCTCTGTAGCTGGGGGAGACCCCTGGCCCTGTAAGCCACTGCTCTGCAGCCCTGGCCATTACTGCCCCTTATCTTCCCTCACAGTCTGTTGGGTTTGGTCTGAAGGCCAATCCCCGGGGCCCCAGGGGATGAAAAATCAGCTTTGAAAGAGGTGAAAGGGACCCTTAGGCATCTTTCAGCATCAAACGGGCCTTTTACAAAACAGCCTTTTGATGAGCTAAGTGTAAATGAATCGGCCATATGGATTGGATTTCCAGGTCCCTGGAGGCTCCATGGGGAAGCAGGAAGCAGAGTTGGAGCCTGGGGCTGGACTGACCCAGTGGCAGGGCCCTTCTACCCTACCACATCTTCCCTACAGGTCACCCCTCAAAGCTCCCATACCAGCCTGGCCAGAGAGTCACCAGACCTGAGGGTCTAGATGGGCTTGGTGAGGACATGCTGAGTGGCCTTGGACATGGCCTGTGGCTCTATGAACAAGAGAGAAGCAAGTCCTCAGTGTGGGCCTCCTTGGATGGGGAAAGCCTCGTGGATGTCACGTGCTTGGGCTGTGGGGAAGATTCTGGGGCAAGCCAAGAGCAGACTCCCACATTTTTGCCAAAGCATCTGCCTTGGATGCAGAGAGACCCTGGGGAAGTGGCCAGTGTGGAGTCGGACTGGCAGCCTCCTGTCCAGGATGGCTTCTTATGTGAGAATGACAGGCCCGTGCATGCACTAAACTCCACATAGGGCCCTTCTGAGCCTTCCTTGAGACATCATCAACTGGCAGCAGAGCCAAAAATAGCCAGGAGCGTGCTCCCTCCCTCCCTGCCCCCGCAGGCATTGTGTGTCTCCTCCAGTCCACGCTGGAGGGGGCGGGGATCTAACTGGCAGCCTTAGCCCTCGATAGATGGACAGAGTGGGAGCAGGGATCATGCTGGAGGTGGAGTTAGCCCAGCCTCCCAGCTTCAACTTCTGCTCACCCAAAATGAGGACAATGTTTTCAGCTCTGTCTGCCAGAGCCTGTCCCCCCAGGGAAAGCATATCTGGTTTTGTAATTGAGGTCAGTGGGGAAATGGGCTTCACTTAGCGGGAGCTTGGGGGTAGTGGAAGAGAGCTAGTTCGGCAACAGAAGGACATAAGGGTGGCTTTTGCTATTCCAGAGAGCTCGAGGCTACCAATAGGGGGTGAGAGGTCACATCCAGGCCATGCTGGCTCCTACCCTCTCTGTGGAGGCTTCCACTGCAAGAGAGAGGCCCACAGGACCCTTCATGCTGTCACAGCTTGTCACCTCAGCCCTCCTGGCCCCTCAGCCAAGACTTAGCTTCTAACCAGGCCCTGAGCTTTGGGCTCAGCCACCCACCAAGAGAACTGGATGGGAGGGGGGAGATTGGGACTGTATTAGGTGCCCATTAGCCCAAACCCATTCAGCACCCCCGCACCTGTCTGTCCCTCCTTGTGTCTGTCTACAGAACAACTCATGGGGGAAGCAGTACTCCTACGCCCTCTTCAAGGCCATGAGCCACATGCTGTGCATCGGCTACGGGCGGCAGGCGCCCGTGGGCATGTCGGACGTCTGGCTCACCATGCTTAGCATGATCGTGGGCGCCACCTGCTACGCCATGTTCATCGGCCATGCCACCGCCCTCATCCAGTCCCTGGACTCCTCCAGGCGCCAATACCAAGAAAAGGTAGGGCGGAGAGCCCTGATCCACCCAAGCCCCTCAGAAGACCCTTCCCAAGAAGGGGTCCTTCCCAAGATGCAACCCTTAGGTGGCCCACTCTGTGCTCTCAGCGTGGGGGACAGAGGAACAGGAGGGGGAAACCCCTTGAATACGAATTGTTTCAACTCCCAAGCGTTCGTTAAGCTATAAATCTCTTTTACCTGCACCCCTCGGCTCCCTCCTGGTCTAACTAAGGCCCTATCTCTCCTATTCCCCCTCTTCTCCGGGAGTTTACCTCTTCCACTCACCCCCCACCAGCCTCTCCTTCCCCATTGGCCTTTCCCACCAGCATTGACATGTACTCTTTCTCCCCCTTTCAGAAATACCTGTCCTTCCACCATCATCCTGCTTTTGCTGTTGTCTTTTCTGTTGTCTGTCTCCTCCTTACATATAGGTAAACTCCTTTGAAAAAGAAAAAGTAGTGTAGGCTGGATGAAGCCATTTCCTTATCACAGCCCCTTTGTTCTGAATCCCTCTGTGCCTCTGTGTTGTTAAACCCCCCTCGTCTGCTCAGTCACTCAGCAGTCTTTGCAGGGCTAACACTCCCTTCTTGATTTCTCGTGGGTTCACTGGTGGTTCGGTGGTAGGACTCTGACCCTCTCTGTGGAAGATTCCGGTTATTCAGTGCTCATCTACTACCTGTCAGTGGAGGCTTGTGTGTTGCTAGGATGGTAAATGGGTTTCACCAGAGCGAAGACAGACAAGGAACTAAGGCTTGGCAAGCTACTTCAGAAGGCCAGCTAGCTAAAACTTTAGGAATCACAGCAGTTTGGTCCACACCAATTGTCAGGACTGACAAGACTAAGAAACATTTCTTTCTACTATGCATGGGGTTGCCTGGAGTCAAGGACCAGCTCAACAGATGCTAATACTTTCAGCTTCTGACTTGAAGTCCTTGGTCCCATACTTAGCCAACAAGACTGTATAGGATTCATCTTCCTTTTGGGTGGACTTGAACCTCTTGTTTAGCAGCCAAGCCCTTAAACTACTGCACTACCAGGGCTCCTGGACTCATTTACTTCCCCAGTTTTCCTCTTACCTTTCTGGCTTCAGTAACCATTTAGTTAATTCTAACTTAACTCCATATGTATCAGAGTAGGATTGAGCCCCAAACAGTTTACGAGTGATTTCTCACAGACAGATCACCCAGCCAGGTGAACTTGACCTATGAGCCTGGGCACACTAAGTGCTGATGCCACCCAGGATGCTTCTCTCTGGCTAGTCCCTCTTAATCAATCTACTGGTTTCTCAGTCCTTGCCTTTGGATGGATGACCCTGGTCGCTTGGTCCTAACCTTACTGCTTCTCTATATGGTCATCTAGGTGTTAGAGATGTATGATGACCTGAATGCAGGGTTCATATCCACTGTTTATAGAATCAATATGAGTTGCAGTCAGTTTGACAGCACTTAACAACAACAACAACAGACCCACCTTCCTATTTTTATGTTCATCTCTATGCGCGGGGGGCGCTCAATTGATAGAATTAGCCACTTTGCCCTGTACCTTCTATTTGATGTCTTACCGGAACCTCATCCTCATCATATTCAAATTTTAAATTCTTCCCTTATCACAATTAACAGGCAGAGTCACACAGCTAGAAAAACCTGGGAGCCACCCCTGACCCGTGTCTACTTCTACGAGCCAGCAGTAACCATGAAATACACTTGCCACAGAATACGTACTCCTCAGGAGAGCAAAGGGCAGCATTTACTTAGGCATAAACCTCAAAAAGACAGGAAGAGCTAGGGAAGAAGGATGAGTAGAAATGGGAGACACAGAGAGGGTGTGGGAGAGTGCAGTTACACTGTCAGGTTTGCTGTTAGTATCATGAATCAAAATGTGTCAGAATTAAAAAACAAAATCAAAATTGGTCAGATTTGTTAAAGAGAAAAATCAGTTTGCTCTGTAAATGTCTACCCAAATCACACTTTAAAAAAAAAAAAGAAATTCTTTCTCTGTTCCAGCCAGCCTCTGCCCTAGACCCCAGCTTCTCTCTCACCCAGGACACTGTACCAGCTCTCTAATGCTTCCAAGCCACACAGTACTGGAGTCAAACTGCCCCAGTTCTTATTCCTGCTCCTCCGTTGAGAAGCTCTGTGAACTTGAACATATCCCTTCACATCTCTGTACCACACTTCCTCATGTGTAACAGGTTTAACACAGGTTAATGTCCTCAGCGAGTTACCAAGAAAGTAACATTTTTTGTCTCCCTAGAGGTTCCTGGGTAGTAAGACCTGGTCATCTACATCTGAAACATCAGCCTTTAAAAGCCCTGTGGAGCATGGTTTTACCCTGACACACATGGCGTACCGTGCGTCTCGGAGTTGACTCATGGTAGCTGGTAAAGATGAGAATGAGAAGTGCAGGAATGTCATTGGGCTGTGACCTCTGTACATGAAGCCTTTAGGCGTGTGTTAGCACCTAGTGGGCTATTCAGTACTTATTAGTTCAGCAGGCTAATTTCCACTCCATCCTTCACATAGCAGTTAGAGTGATGTTTTAAAAATATAAGCCCCCTGCTTAAAACTCTTTATTATTATTGTTGTTGATTGTTGTTGAGTCACGCATGACTCACAATAGAGACTCTGAACAAAAGACTTAATGCCTTTCCATAACTATTGTCATTTCTCCAAGTTCATAGAGTTTCCAGAGGCATGTAGTTTAGGAAGTGGATGCCACTCCTCCTTCCAAACCTGTTGTACAACTGGGAGCTCCACCAAACACTGTCCACATTGGAATACCATTCTGGTATTCGAAACCCCAGTGGCACAAGGTTCAGCATCACAGTAAATGCAGGTTACTTCATAAAACATATTGACAAAGAGTGATGTACAAAGTGGAAGAATGTTCCTCCAGATATAACAGAACTAGTCTCATTTAGCAGTGGTTATGTGTCATCAAGTTGAACATGACTCAGAGTAAGTTCTGCACCGGAATCTATCCTATAACTAACATAATTTCTGTACAGCTAGAGAGTTTGTAGTTTCCAGAAGCATCTAGTTTAGGAAGTGGATGCCATTCCTGCTTCCCAGCATGAATCAATCTGGAAGCTCATCCGAACATTGCACATAATGGGAAACCATTATGGCATTTGACAAGACTATGGAACAGTGTGCAGCATCACAGCAACTCCAAGTTGTTCAGTACACCAAAGACAAAATAGTGCTGTGTAATTTAAAGAACATTCATTCAAAAAGGAATAAATCTTAAAGCCATACCCTCTAGCAGACCTCCACCCTTGGTCAAAGGCTCAAGTACACCCACTTTGGGGGGGAAAGAGCAGTAACACACATCAAACACGACCCCAAAAACTTCCCTTATGTGACTTACGTGACTGCCATCAAGATGCTAGCTCTTGAGATGTAGTTTCCTAAGCCTGCTTTCTCAGTCTGGTTTTTAAGAGACATGATTGGGTCCCTGCTCGTTGGCAAACGCCCTTAAATTATACCTCGAGTTCCAGAGCTCTCCAGTCCAACCTGGCCAGTCTCTCTGATGGCGCATATGCCTGGTTCTGCCCTGCCGCAGGACCTGGGCACCAGTTCTACCCTGCTCTCTCTTTCTTCTTCCTCACCTGACAACCAAAGTCTCAGGCTGAAGATCCCCTCCATGGGGAAGCCTTCCCTGGCCTGCCAGCCTCACCCCTTATATAACCCCATGGCACCCTCTAATTCTCCTCCACCACACCTTGAAGCCCTGTGATTATTTAACTAATCACACACCATCATTTGTTTAATGGCCCCATGAGACAGGATCCAGGGCTGTCCTGTTGTCCGCTGTATTCCCAGAGCCTGACACAGAAGGGGGCTCAGTGTTGATTCATTTGGTGCCTCTCTGCCCACCTGCCCAGGAGCGCCCTGGCGGCGATAATGGACGGATTATCAGGTTCAGGGGTGAAGGCTGCCCATGATACCAGGAGAGGAGAGCTTGGGGGTAACTTGTAGAGCTGGGGCAGATGGAGAGCAGAGAAAGGACAAGGTACAATAGCATTCTTGGGGGTGAAGAAATCAGACTGGATAGAGGAAAGAGTCGTGGGTCAGGAATGAGGAGGATGTAGAAAGTGAGTCAGGTTATGAAAGTCAGGCAGGGGCTTAATTCAGGCCCAGGCTAGAAATTGGCCTGAGACCAGTCAAGGATGGTATGTGACCAGGGTCGGGGCTCAGGCAGTGACCAGGGTGAAGGCTTGGTGTGTGAGCAAGGTCAGGGCTAAGCCTCTGACGAGGCTAACAACTCAGATGACCTAGGTCAGTGCTTAGTGTGTGATCAGAGTCAGGACTCAACGTGTCACCAGCATAAGGCTCAGGCCGGAATCAGGGTCAGGGCTCAGCCTCTGCACAGGCTCGAGGGCTCTGTGTGTGACCTAGCCAGAGGGCTCAGGGTGTAACCAGGGTCGGGGCTCAGTGTGTTATGAGCAGAGTTAGGGCTCAGCCAGAGGATGAGGAATAAGGATCAGAGTTTATTCCAGGGGAAGAGTCAAGCTGCACGTGGCTTCCCACTTGAGAGCTGACCTTATTTTATCCTCCAGTTAATAGCTTTCCAAGTCTTCCGGGCTCACCCCTAAAACCCTCTCAAATGCTCCTCCCCTCCATTTCCACTATCATCTCTCCCCTGGACCTCTTCCCTGTTTCCAGACCCCACCACCCCAACCTACCACCTCACTCTTGTCCATCCTTGGAGGAATTCACAAAAACAGCTCAAATTCTCTGGCTACTCCTTCCACCAAAGCCAAACAGGAAGTCCCCACCCTTTGGGTGGGTGGGGCTTGGGAGAGGATTGGCATAGCTGAGAACAGGTTGGCTACTGGCAGTGGGTCCCTTCCCGCCACTCCCTGACCACTCTGCAGAACAGGTTAGCTGGAAGAAGTTTTGGAAAAATTCTTACCTCCTGTGCGCCCCACAACTGCTCATAAACTGGTCCACGTCTCCACCTCCTTGGAGCCCTGAGAATGTTAATATTGTATACCATCGAGTCAGAACCAACCCAGAGCTGACCTTCTAGGGAGTTTTCAGAGGCAGTAAAGTAGGGGAAGAGATTGCCCATCTTTCTCCGGTGGAACAGCTGGTGGATTTGAACTACATGACTTTGGCTGGGCAGTGCAACTCTTTACTAGTAAACCACCAGAGCTCCTTAACCACCAGAGCCCCCAAAGAGTAGGTTTCCCTATTTCTGATTGTTCCTGAGGTTCCAGTGAGCACCCTCACTCCTTATGGTTTGCCTCCTGCCTTGAGCCATATTATTTTTTTTTATTGATTTTTATGGAAGTTTACAGAGACTTTGGATTTCCATTCCTTTACTGTTGCACTTTTCTCCCTGCCCACCCCTACCCCTCCAATTAACTTTTCTTTTTGAAAAGTAAAAAAAAAAAAAAAAAAGGGTCTTTCACTGTTATTCAATCCCTCTTCCCAAGTCCACTCCACTATGCAGCCTTCGTTCTGGACTTCTGTCATAACAATAATATTTAATCATGTATCTCTTTTATCCATATTCTTGAAGAGTCCCTTTCCACCCACCATCCAGGCACAACCAGATTAATGCCCACACTTCACTCCCAGGGTCAGCAGGACCAGTTCATATTTCGGCAGGAGGATTTGGGTTCCCAGATCTGTCTTTGAAGGCCCCTGCTTTAGCCCCTTTTCCATGGACTGGAGTTGGCCTTCAGTAACAAGGTACAGGGCCTCCTCTGAGGCCATGGTTGGATATAAACCCTAGGCTGGATGAGAATGGTCAAGAACTCTTGCTTCAACCTCCAATTGTTCTCACTGCAACCCAGTTCTACTGACTAAGTAAACTTGTATTACCCATTGCTGGGAAATAGCTTTTCTTAGTCCTTGAGGCCCCGGTAACCCACGGTGCAACACAGAAAAGGCAACTGCATGAACCTTCTGTGTGTTGATACCTGTAGCTGGGCTTGGGACTGTCCATATTGTTCCCCTCCCATTTCTGGGCACTTGAGCATAGTAAGGACACGTCAATTTGAGGGCGTCCTCCTCCTCTGCACTCCAAGCAGCTGGGTGACAGGGCCAGTGCCATGAGCACAGTATGACCACACTCACACTGAGCAACTTGAATTCCAAGCAGCTATGGTCCTCTGACAAGGCCTGTAGGGTTTGGTGCCCGGCTCTGGTCACCTGCAGGGCCAAGACTGGGGTGTGCCAATGCGCAGTGGGGCTGGCTGGCTTGGTCATGACTTAAACTCCCTTCTCTCCTGGGGCGCAGTACAAGCAAGTGGAGCAGTATATGTCATTCCACAAGCTTCCTCCAGACACAAGGCAGCGTATCCATGACTATTATGAGCACCGCTACCAAGGCAAGATGTTTGATGAGGAGAGCATCCTGGGAGAACTGAGCGAGCCACTGCGTGAGGTGAGCTGGGCAGCTGCCAACCAGGGCCAGGGAACCAGGCCTCCTGGCCCACAGCTCCCCTAACTTCCTTCTTTCTGTTCCCCGGCCCACCCCTTCTGGGGAGCAGGAGATCATCAACTTTAACTGCCGGAAGCTGGTGGCCTCCATGCCATTGTTCGCCAACGCAGATCCCAACTTTGTGACATCCATGTTGACTAAGCTGCACTTTGAAGTCTTCCAGCCAGGTGACTACATCATTCGAGAGGGGACCATTGGCAAGAAGATGTATTTCATCCAGCACGGCGTGGTCAGCGTGCTCACCAAGGGCAACAAGGAGACCAAGCTGGCCGATGGCTCCTACTTTGGAGGTGAGGTGCAAGGGGAAGCTGGGAAAGGGGGCTACTCCCAGGGATGAGCTAGCAGACGGCAAGCATGAGAGGCACTGAAAGCCTGTAATGGCCACAAACTGGAGGTGGGGACCTCAACTCTGTGACCATCAAAAGATGGTCCCAGAGATGAGAAAGTCCACCCAGAATCCATTTCATGGGGCCACAGCCTGGGGGTGAGGCCTTGGGAGTCTGCTCAGGCTTCTGCACCAGGTATGGGGGGTGGGGCATGGGCACAGACCAGAGGCTGGTTTTCTTGTTGGAGTGGGAGGGACTGTGCGTTCCACCCTGATTCCTGTGTCCCCACAGAGATCTGCCTGCTCACCCGGGGCAGGCGCACGGCCAGCGTGAGAGCCGACACCTACTGCCGCCTGTACTCACTGAGCGTGGACAACTTCAACGAGGTGCTGGAGGAGTACCCCATGATGCGGCGGGCCTTCGAGACGGTGGCGCTGGACCGCCTGGACCGCATCGGTGAGGGGCGTGTTGGGGGGCTGGAGGGCGGGGTTCCCGGCCCCGGACATCAGCTTCCTTCCCACACTGCACCGCCCCTTCCCGCGCGCTGGCGTAAGCATCCCGGTCTTGTTCTGTGTCCCAGGCAAGAAGAACTCCATCCTCCTGCACAAAGTGCAACACGACCTCAACTCCGGCGTCTTCAACTACCAGGAGAACGAGATCATCCAGCAGATCGTGCAGCACGACCGCGAGATGGCGCACTGCGCGCACCGCGTCCAGGCCGCCAACTCGGCCACCCCGACGCCCACGCCCGTCATCTGGACCCCGCTGATCCAGGCCCCGCTGCAGGCCGCCGCTGCCACCACCTCCGTGGCCATCGCCCTCACCCACCACCCGCGCCTTCCCGCTGCTATTTTCCGCCCACCTCCGGGGCCGGGGCTGGGCAGCCTCGGGGCCGGGCAGACACCCAGGCACCTGAAGCGGCTGCAGTCGCTCATCCCTTCTGCGCTGGGCTCTGCCTCACCTGCCAGCAGCCCGTCCCAGGTGGACACACCTTCATCCTCCTCCTTCCACATCCAGCAGCTAGCAGGTTTCTCGGCCCCCGCTGGACTGAGCCCTCTCCTGCCCTCGTCCAGCTCTTCCCCACCTCCTGGGGCCTGCAGCTCCCCACCAGCCCCTACACCGACAGTCACTCCGGCTGCCACCACCACAGCTGGCTTTGGCCACTTCCACAAGGCGCTGGGCAGCTCGCTCTCCTCCTCTGACTCTCCACTCCTCACCCCGCTGCAGTCTGGCGCCCGCTCCCCACAAGCCACCCAGCCGCCACCACCTCTGCCAGGTGCCCAGGGAAGCCTGGGACTGCTGGAGCACTTCTTGCCGCCCCCACCTTCATCCAGGTCCCCATCGTCCAGTCCTGGGCAGCTGGGTCAGCCTCCAGGGGACTCGTCCCCAGGTCTGGCTGCCGGCCCAGCAAGTACACCAGAGACACCCCCACGGCAGCCCGAGAGGCCGTCTTTCATGGTAGGGGCCTCAGGGGGAGCCTCCCCTGTTGCCTTTCCTCCCCGAGGAGGCCTTAGCCCCCCTGGCCAGAGTCCAGGCCCCCCAAGAACTTTCCCAAGTGCCCCACCCCGAGCCTCTGGCTCCCATGGGTCCTTGCTCCTGCCACCTGCATCCAGTCCCCCACCGCCCCAGGTCCCCCAGCGCCGAGGCACGCCACCCCTCACCCCAGGCCGCCTCACCCAGGACCTCAAGCTCATCTCAGCCTCTCAGCCAGCCCTACCCCAGGATGGAGCACAGACTCTACGCAGAGCCTCCCCACACTCCTCTGGGGAGTCCGTGGCTGCCTTCCCCCTGCTCCCCAGAGCGGGGGGCGGCAGCGGGGGCAGTGGGGGCCTTGTCCCCCCTGCGAGGCCCTATGGTGCCGTTCCTGGCCAGCATGTCACTCTGCCTCGAAAGACATCCTCAGGTTCTCTGCCACCCCCACCATCCTTGTTTGGGGCAAGAGCCAGCTCTTCTGGGGGTCCCCCTCTGACTGCTGTACCCCAGAGAGAACCTGGGACCAGGCCTGAGCCGGTGCGCTCCAAACTGCCATCCAATCTATGAGCTGGGTCCTCCCTCCTCCCTTCTCTTTTCTCCCCTCTTCTTTCTTTCTTCAGGTTTAACTGTGATTAGGAGATATACCAATAACGATAATAATTACTATTAAAAAGGAAAAAAAAAACCCCAAACAACAAAAAACCAAACCAACCCAGAACCCACACCAGAAAAAAACAAAAGAAAGCAGAAAATAACCAGGTATTCTTAGAGCTATAGATTTTTGATCACTTGCTTTTCTAGATTATTTTAATACTCAGCACTAGAGGGAGGGGGGAGGGAAGTAGTCAGGGCCCAAAATGGAGATGGTAGGTGGGTCTCTGGGGCTGGGACACAGTGAGGGTGACCCTACTTGGGGTTCCTAGAGCCCGTCTGTCCTGGTATTTGTCTTCAGCAACCACCACCACCAGCCCTGCAGCTGTGAACCTGGAGCCTCTTTCTGCTGGGGGTCACCTTGGTCCCCCCAGAAAGGGGTGGCTCTTGATTCCTAGGGCTCAGACGCCTGGATCCTGGGGCAGAAACAGAGCAGGTCCTTGAGGACCTGGCATTTTTTTTCTACTGCAAACTTAGCAAGCTATGTATATGACTATGTATATGTATATGTATGTAAGATGTGTATATGTATAGTTATGTAGCGCTCTGTAGAGCCGTGTAGATAGCCACTTACACGTGCACACATGCGTGCGCGGTCTTCTTTAACCCCATGTCGCCAGGACACCCAGGTCACCTTACACCCAGCCACTCGCCTTGGCCCACAGGCTGGGCACTGCAGGCTCTGGGTGAGGGTTCTCCCCAGTCCTCAGGGAAGAGCACCCCCCAGGCACCCTCAGCAGGCCTCCTTCCCCGTCTTTGGTCTCAGATCCAACCCTGGCCCAATCTCACCACGTGGAAGCAGACATATCTGGGCTGTGCCTCTCCTTGCCCACAGGGCCTCAAGCACATCCTCCACCTCTGTGGTCCTCACTTTTCCCATCTGTACAGTGGGAGGTGAGCGGGTCATCGCTTGATCGAGTCTCCTCTGTGCCAAGCACTGGTTTGTACTTTTCACGTATTAACTCCTTCAGTTTCACTAAAACTGAGGTGAAGGTACGTTGATTTTCTCCCCATTTTACAGATGAGGAGACCAAGGTGTGGGTAATTTCCCCAGAACCATGTGACTAGAAGAGCCAGAATTGCAACAGATCTGAGATTCAAATCTGTGCCTGCTTGCGGCCAAAGCTTCTGTTCCTTCCTCCAGAAAACTGCTGAGAGGGCCTAAATTGTGTGGTCCCCAAGTGTGGTACAGAGGGACGACCCTCAATAGATCGCAGCTCTGCCACTTCCTTACTGTGGGACATTGGGCAAGTTATTTCCTTTTCCCAAGGGTGTTATCTCCTTTGTAAAATGGGAATAAGTATTGTACCACCCTCACAAAGGACCTGAGGACCAGATGGGAGAAGTAATGTGTGAAGTGCCTAGCCCAGTGCCTGGCGCGTACCATAGTAGGTGCTCAACAAATCAACACATCTCATTTCTTCTGTACCCTCCTCTGGGACTAGCCCCTTCCTCCAGGGAGCTATGGGAGAACCCCAGGGAGAATTGGTTGAGGCCCCCAGGATTTATAATCTCAGGATTTGGGAGGTAGCTGAGCCTCGTGGAGGGCCTGAGGAAAGGGTGTGGCCAGTGGTGGCCTTGAGCCAGGCCCTGAGAGGAAAAGTAAGGACCAGAAAGTAGTAGAGGGAATGGAGTTCACTGTGACTACTGAGCTGAGTGCAGAGGCAGGAGCTTTGGGAAGGGGGCCACAGGCTGGAGGACCAGAGAGAAGGCTCTTTGTGGCAACATAAGGGGATTTGGCTTGATTCTGAAGGCAGTTGGGAGGGAGCCACAGCAGGTTTCAGAGCAAAGGCCAACGTGAACACACCTGGGAGCCTCCTGAGGCATCAGTGGGGAGTGTGGGAGGGGAATTGCACTCCATGCTCTAAACCAGAATGGTGTTGAGCTCTGATTTTGTCCTGAGGTGTGTTGTGTGTACCATAGAGATAGAATCAACCCATAGCTGACCCTCTGGTGAGTTTTCAGAGGCAGTTAATCACACAGGAAGAGACTACCCATCTTTCTCCTGCAGAGCAGCTGGTGGATTCGAACCATGTACTTTTGGATTGCCAGCACAACTCCTTTCCACTAGGCCACCAGCGCTCAGAGAGAGAAGCAAGTGAGGGGTCCTGGGAGTCTAGCGAGAGAGACCAGAAGCCAACCTGGCCTTAAGGCAGGAGAAGAAACCCCTCTTGGGTCTGGGGAGTCTCAGAACTGAAGGATTGAAATAGCAGTTTCAGCACAGTTCTACATCTGACCTCCCCCAGGGCAGGCGCCTCAGAAAGGGTAGACTTGACCCAGACCGGGAGTCCAGCCTGGAGGTGGCAGATGAGGGAGGGGCTAGGAGGTAAGGTAGAGGGTCCAGGGGCATGAGGAGTGAGGAACGCCCCCCACACCACCCCCGCCAACTGGGCCTGGCCTAACCTAATCACCCTCTTCTGTGTACACACATACACACACACACATTTTATAAAAGCTCTGACCCAGCCCAGCCTACTCCACAGAGACTGTGCTGTTCCCGTCCCCAATCCTCCCACAAGCAATTTTCAAATCTTCCACTTTTAAAACAGAAAACGGTGGATGCACCGTGTTGTATATTTTATTTAAATAAAAAAATTCTGGAAGATACTGCCCCCTTATTTTAGAGTTTGGGGGTTGGGTGTGTGGGGACAGGGGGAAGGTTGGGTGGGATGGAGACACTGGTGGGGTGGGGGCTCCGGTCAACCTGTGGCATGAATAGACACTCAACGTGCACAGAGCTTCTCCCCAAGCACTGTGGCTGTGAGGGGTGTGAAACCTACCTGGCCCTTCAGGCTAAGTACCCCTGGGGACCTGCCTACACCCTGTTCAATGGAAACAAACATGTTTAGGAGCTTGTAAGAGTCTATGAAGCCAGTGGATGTGGGCAGGAGAGTTTGAGACCTTGACTCAGGCCTCCCCATCCCAGCAGCCAGGGCACCTGGGTCCCTGGCGCTCATTGAAGATCCCTGAGGAGAAGAATGGTGGTCAGGTCTGCACGAACTCCACTGAAAACAACAGGGAGAGACAGGATGCCACATGAGCTGGGCCACATCTGTCCTGAGGAGCTGTCGTGGAGCTTGGAGACAGGGAGACCAGGCTGAGGAATCAGGAGCACAACAGAGACTAGATTTCTGGGGTCACAGATGATGAGCAGAGCACCCAGAGCTTCAATTGCAAAGGAAGCTGTGTGTGAAACGCAGCCCAGGGCCACCTCGTGGGAAGGAGGTATAGAAGTGACTCCTCACTGTGGTAGCCCTGAGGGGTGTGCTTCCTAGATTAGACCCCATACCCCATACCCCATAGGCCTCAGTCCCTCTGTCAAGAGCTCAGACGGCTTCCTCTTCTCCCCCACAGCCTGCACACCTCCCCAGGGAGGGGAGGAGGTCCCCCCCCCCACCCCAGGCTGGTGACTAGCAGCTGGGAAAGAGAAATCCTGGGGCTCCCGCAGCAGCAGCTCAGGGAGCACCTTCTCCCGGAGGAGGGGAAAGTCCTCGGGAAAGGGCAGGGAACCCGTCCCTGCAGACGTTCCTCATCACAGATTGTCAAGTGGATGCTGTTTCCATGGTAACCAGTCTGGGAGTCCTGTTGCTAAGAAGGCAGCTCAGCAAGCCCTGGAGTCCCCATGACAACTGCCCCCTGCGGCCCTGGGCAGCCCTGTTTCCTGAGGACTCCGCAGGCTTGAGCCTGTGCTGGGGTGGTGGCACTTGGGGAGCCTGGCTGGTCCAGGATGATGCTTTGGAGCAGTGACTAGGCACCTCAGAGAGGTGGGAACTGGGATGAGACAAGTGGGGGGAGTGGCGGGAAGAGAAAGGAATGAGGGGCAAGGATTAGCTGTGATGCCGCAATCAAAGCTCAAAGGTAGTGGACCATTCCCATGGTGGCCGGGGAGCCCCACATGACCCACATTCTCACAGGGCCTTCACCATCACTGCTGGGAGTTCGAGGAAGGACACAGAATCAGTTGCTGTCTTTTCTGTTCCCGCACCCCACCTGCCATATCCTGAGCAGGTAGTGCCGTCACATAAACTCATTCTGTCCTCACAGTAACACTACTTGGTGAGCACTAGACACACTCACCCTCAGAGCCTGGGTTGTCAGCGTCATTTGCAATTGTCCGATATCCTAGAGGTTGGTGGTTTGGATGCACTCGCTGGTTCCTCAGAGAAAGACCTGGTGAAATGCTTGCTTAATGGTTACCGCCCTGCAGCAGTTCTGCTCTACACGAGTTACCAGGACTTGTATCGACTCCTGGCAACAGGTTCAAAGGGTCTTCCCAGACTAGTTAGCTGGAACGTGGGGGAGCCTGGGTGCACCCCTCCATCCTGATGGTGCGAAGCCAGTCCCTTCCCAGAACAGCCTATCAGAGAGAGGCCTGCCGAGGGTGGGGTGGAGGGGTGCAGGCAGCACAGGAGGCACTGCCTGTGGAGGGAGTCCCCCCAAGTGGTGAAGATGGCCCATGATTGATGAGCGTGGGTACTAATGGACAGGCTGGCAGTTTGAGTCCGCCCAGAGGCACCTCCAAAGACATGCCCAGTGATCTGCTCTCTTACAGATTCTCTGTGTCAGCAAAGTGCGACCAACTCAGAGCTGATCTTCCCCTGTGTTTCTGAGACTGTACATCACACGAGAGGAGACTGTCCACCCTTCCTTCTCGGAGCTGCTGGTGGATTCGAACCACCAGCGAGGCACAACCTTTATGTTAGCAGCAAAAGTCTATATGGACTGCACCCCCAGAGCTACCTGGAGTTGAATTGTCTTTTGATTCATATGAGTCACCGCACCAACTCTGACGGTTGCAGCTTCTTGTTTTGTGTAGAGTTGGACCCGGCCCATAGCTGACCCTCCAGTGGGTTTTCAGAAGCAGTAAATTATAAGGGAGGAGATGGCCCATCCTTCTCCCACGGAGCAGCTGATGGATGTGAGCTATGTGCGCTTGGGATTGCAGGGCAGTGTCTTACACTAGGCTACCAATTCTTATTAGGTGGTAGAGATTTTTTCCCCCCAAAGAAATAAATTACTTTT